GCTATTACTGTTATTGCTGTTGCAAGCGACGCGAAATGTTTTTCACGAGCGCGAAAAAAGCCATGAGGCCGCATACACTCCAATAATTGCAGCGAGATTTCCCGGTTTGTTGACCCGCGGCATCAATTAAACGCGCCGCGCGTCACTAAGTGACTCTCGCTCTCCTATTCATCGGCAATTGGCGACAATCATCGCTTGTGCACTAAAGACGATCGGAATCCATGCAAATGAAATCGGTTGCAACCGATTGAAACCCAACGCAACTGAAAAACGCGAGTAATTTGGCGGCGTCGCCGCTGTCGCTTGAGAATCGCGAGAGTTCAGCTGAATTTTGAAAGTCGCCTCCAATGATTTTGTTTATTTTCTTTTGGTATTGACGTTATATCGCAAATGCTCGCCTACTAATTATAGAGATAGCGGTCTTTTTGAATTCATAGGTAAGCCATAATGTCGTGGCGGTAAGATAACTTTCAATATATGCATTTCATTATCATAACGTTATCTTATTGATGCAAGAAAATCAAAGTCGCAAAGTCTCTCCTCGTATATGTGAATATTTGCTTATAAATTTTAGACTCAATCTTCATTATTCGTTTGAACTGTCATGTCATTAGAAAATATTGCTACACATAAAATAACGTGTAATCGAATATGGATGGTATATTTTCTATAAAAAATTCAGGCCAGTTATTGCGTTTTATTCGAGGAAATGGGTAAAGCAGCTTCAAGTAATCTTTACGTATAGAAATTAAAAAAAAAAAAAAAAACTTTAATTGATTGGCAATCAATTAATTATGCATATACAAGATGCAATCATATTTCACTGTAACTAAAATCTTTTCTTGTAATAATAAGACAGTCGTACTACCACAACATTTGAATACTAAGACGCTTAATGATTTAGTGGAAGCACGTCTTTCTAAAATATAAGGAATGAATAATAATATCATAACTTATATAAATGACCGGCGTTAAAAATACATTTACTTCTAATACTTTGATCCATGTAATTTCATAATACAAACTTACATTTATACATATACGGATGGTTGGGCGGGCGCTTGTGCGCCTACGTGACAACATATTTGCGAGTTTGCAATTGATAATGTAGAGTATGATAGACGTATTTGAATTTTTTGGATCGAATTTATAACAATATCTATTTGAATTAAAAGTAAGCTATAAAGGATGAAAATAATTGCATTTCCAATTTCTTGTAATTTATAAGAAATATAATTTTAATAATGTAAGTGAAAAATTATAATATTAACCATTACGATAAATATGCAAAACAGTCATTTTGTTAATTTCACTTTTCATGTGAGAGAATATTTGCTTCATTGATATTATTTATGTTTTTGCTTACATAAGCAAGCGAAATCGTTGGAATATTCGAAATTTGTTCTTAAAATTTCAAAATTTCTGTACAACGACATCGATTATTAAAATAAAATTCTAATTATCCAATTTTTTATTCCCATAATTATAAATGATCACAAATATTATTAATTGCAATTATTTGAATATTTTCAATATAACCATGCGAACGCCATTGCATATACGAATACATTACGTATATACGAATACATTACGCATATACGAATACATTACGCATATACGAATTCCTGACTTACATATTCAACTAGCACATACAATGAGAATATTGACTATTAAAGTAACGATTGATGAGCTAGGGAAGAGGAGAGAGAGAGAGAGAGAGAGAGAGAGAGAGAGAGAGAGGCGTTAAATCCTCGTGTACCTCAATATAGCCTCTTCGGTCGCGTACAATCAGCGGGGGCGAATCGCCAGGTCAACAAAGACGATTAATTGCGAGGCTTGTTGTTACCTTTACAATTTTCTCGCTCACCTTGGGAAGCGTGGCGTGGTATTGCTGGAGATCCCCTCGTATTGACCGACGTAGGTCGACGATGTAGTCGACGGTGGACTCGTACCCAGTGCTCTCTAGTCAGTACTTTTTTTTGACGATTTTTCTAAAAATTTCGTCGCTCTCATTGCATCGCATCATTCGGCGTCGGGATGTTCTTTTTTCTCGTTGCTGGTAGTGCGCGCCAACCTAACCTAATAGGCGTGTAAAATTTACGTAAATAAGCCGGTGTGCGTAGCAGCATTCGAGTCTTTTGTAGTTTATTCGTCGGTCTGAGTTTATAAGAATTTAAAAGCCACTATGGAGTATTTCTCATTACCGCGTTATTCTAAGGATTATTTCATTACTATACAATTTTCACTGCTTTGAAAAACATATTTTTCAAACAAATATGTATTTCTACTTATAAAATTCTTTAAAAGACTTTTTGTCTTAAAGCCCTTTTTCATATGCATCCGTAGATTGTATAAAAGCATTATTTTACAGGAGTTCTATATCTACAAAAGATAAGACTTTAAAATACTTAAAAATAATATATTTCAATTAGATTTCAAATAGTATTTTCAAATTATAATAAATAAATATATATAGATATATTTCTTGCAATTCAAACGACAGATTTTTCTTCAGAATTATAATCTTCAATACTTTGAATAAATTCTTATTACAAATTGTAGTTACAGTCGGAAAATTTGAGATTCGATTGCTTGAACTTTATTTCTTAGTCCATACCATTAGGAGCTAATTTTGTTTTATAAGAAAAATTTGATTTTATTATTTTCTAATTGTTTTTTATCAGCTACTTAGTTCTGCCCAATATATTTTTCTGTTTTTTCATCCCGATATATTTTGCCGTCTTTTTGGTACATGCTTCCACCTTCAAAAACTTCCGTTGTTTGTACAAGCAATAAGTAATAATCAGAGGGATTCTAGATCTGGAGGAGAATCTGGTGGGAATGTACTTTCCGTCTAAGCTTATGACAGCTTCTGTTGGGTCAATAAATTTGATGTCTGGCATTATTGTGGTAAAACAATACGCCTATCCTAACAAACAATTTTGACCTCTTTTCTTTGATGGAATTTATCTCCAGGGTGATAATATATTTCTTAATCAATTATAAAATTAACTTAATAACAATAATTCATCCAAAATGCCATTAAGTATCATAGTTTTTACGTGAATATGGATTTTCAAACTACTTAAAGAAGAATTTTTTATACCCGTATATCTTATACTTAACAAGCTCTTATATCACGATGTAGCTTTATATTATTTTCTTTACAATTTAATCAATCTATTGCTGAGAAAAACTCTTTTTCAGAGTATGTCCGGGGTTCGTATGTCAGGTTTTGAAATGAAATTAAAGCTGTTCGTGTAGCCAAAAAGGTCGAATTCAATAAATCATAAAATATAGCATTCATTAATTAATCCCACTTTTTATTTGCCAAAAGGTAGGGGTAATCCTATTATAAAAATTCCGAAAGTCCACTTCTTATTTAAGGAATATCGAAAAATTTGTAAAATATGAAATTATAGCAAACTTGTACATTAGATTTAATAGAAAATTGGAGGACAGTTCACTTTATTTTTATGTTCGATATCAAAGTCTGCAAGAAATATTTTTAGTCTCAGACAGTATAAAGATCTATAAAAGTAAATAATTTTTTTTTATTATGTCTATTAATATACCTTTCTCATGTACTTCGAATAACATTATTCTTGTTGGAATAACATTTATACATCTTCGACGAAAGAAAGAATAATAATAATAATACAATGTACCGCAAAACTTCTTTTTAATTCGATGGTTAATGACTTATTACACATAATAAAAATCATGTTTATTAAAAAGAAAGAATAAACGAAACTTCGAATATTTTTTATCATAGAGAATGAAATATATTTATCAAAGATGTAAAATTATTTTCATTATCATGATAATTTAAATAGTATAATTCCACAATATTTTATATAAAAATTCTCTTCATTTCTATTATTCAAGCAATTAATTGAGCTCAATGTTAAAAGCCAAACAATTAAAGTAATTACATAATTTTATACGCTCAATACTAAACTAAATGCGGTTAATATGATTGATGCTTTTAACCCCTAAAAATACTTCTTGACTTTCTTCTACAATTTTTCCTAGTACAGTTTGAACGAGCAGCTATAGCTTTTTATTACCGAGGCAAGAGTGAAATGCATTTCCTATGGAAATTTGGCCTTTGTCACGGAATGCAACATTATTTTTCTTTTACTTATATAGTCTCGTTCTACCTAGTACATCAATATATTCACACTACAAAATTTTATTGGCTGATGTAAAGAAAGTTACAGGAGAGTATCGAAGCATTTTTCAATTAAAAAGATATATTTGGTATAAAAAGCTCGTGAATGTTATCTCATGCATCTGAGCCTTTTACATTTTACTTGCTCTTTCTTTTTCCTTTTTAAATTTAAAATTAGATTTAACTGACCAATATGCAAATGATGTTAAAAATTAATTCCCCTCTAATTATTTACATAACAATTATGACGATTATGACAATTATGTCTCATTATTTACAAATTCAGATTTATGTGCAGTCGTAAATATAATATGTATATGTCCACTTTTAATTATATACTCTTCAGCAGCTCTAAACTACAATTATAATACCTTTATCCTTAATATTTTACGGTAATGCTATACTCACGTACTGAAATTAGCCGAACGATTTCTAATCTTTTCACCATTTACCATACTTCTGAATTCGTATGATAAAAAAGAAAAGTAATCCGAAGCTCCGCGTTAGAAAATTCTGGTAAACAGGACGCAATTCTGTTATCGCAAAGCGTATATTATATCTGTCAATATATCTTGTGCACGTGTCGTTGAAAATTTACTTATATTACATTTTCACGTCGAAGCATCGATAATCCCCTGTCAAAACTAAATCCTTCAGTTTTAATTGAACATCTGCACGAGACGCATGCTACCCCGAGCAACGAATTTTCATTTACCATAAACTGTCCCGCCAACATTCGTCAACAATAAACCAAATTCTCTTTATATTCGGCCACGAACTCTTTGTTCTTCGTTCTAATTGAATCGTCGCGTTCACTGTTGCGTAGGTAGCCGACCAACAGCATGGTGTCAGATAATAGCGGTGGCGGCGGTCCACCCAACAGCGGCGCCTACACGGTCCCGGTAAGCAATGCCGGCTACCGGAACAAGGGCTACAAGGACGACGGGGCCGACGGGTTGCCACCCGAGCCCCACAAGCCGTACAAGCCGCTTCAGTTGCCGAGCGACGAGGACGGACAGTCTCGGAAGTTCAAGCTGTCGCGCAGCGAGAAGTGGCGCATCCTGAAGAACATCGGCACGGTCTCCGTGGCCTTCATGGTGCAATTCACCGCATTCCAGGGCACGGCGAATCTTCAGTCGTCGATAAACGCGAGCGACGGTCTTGGGACGGTTTCCCTCTCGGCGATTTACGCGGCCCTCGTGCTTAGCTGCATATTCGTACCAACTTTCCTCATCAAGCGGCTCACCGTCAAATGGACCCTCTGCCTCTCGATGTTGTGCTACGCCCCCTACATCGGCTCCCAGTTCTACCCGAGGTTCTACACTCTCGTTCCCGCAGGGGTGCTCCTTGGACTCGGTGCCGCGCCCATGTGGGCCGCCAAGGCAACCTACCTAACCCAGGTCGGGGGCGTCTACGCTAAGCTCACCGACGAGCCAGCCGATGCCATCGTCGTCCGATTCTTCGGCTTCTTCTTCCTCGCGTGGCAGACCGCCGAGCTTTGGGGCAACCTCATCTCTTCACTAGGTAAGTCTTCTTCGCATCTCTCGTCTTTAGTTATGAATAGTAAGGCTGTGGACGATTGTTGTAACGATTGCTGCTGAAGGCAAATTGCATAATAAATCGGGGAATATAAGTGAAGGGTGAAGGGCTAACATACCGACATATTGCGTCACTGTATTATAAAAATTAATAACATAATAAAATACAAGTACGTTAGCAATTAATGCGACTACCAAGTCGGATTAACATACTTTATAATACGGTTTCGAGTAATTCCGTTACCTCGTCCTCGTATTAATTCATTTTATCATCTCAATTTCGTCGTTTAATTAAAAGAGATCTTTCAATTATCTTTAGCTTTATATACGCTAATATTTTTCTCTCGGTGATATTATTACAAAATTATCTTTATCGAGGACATTTTGAAAAATTAACGATTAAAATTTAGGCTTTATTCGTTTGTACAAGATAACGAGGTATTATAAATAGGCATTGATTAAGTCTATACTCATTGACTTTCTATTAAGTTGACAGAAATAATATGTTTAATTTAAACTGAGAACAACAAGTTAATAAAGCTACAATCGCAATGTACATTTGATATGCAATAATCAAAGAATCTCGAATAGATATTTCATAAATATAGAAAAGATATAAAATTCCTCTTAGTCGGTATTTATCGTAATGAGATAAGGGATTTACTTCATTATCAATATTTAATTTGACACACTCATACCATAACAATCACATGATACTGATATTTTGTAAACTTAACGAATGATTTTTATTGGATATTAAAAATTTGATTTAAATTTGTGATTATTACAGTGTTTGTTTTCTTTTAACCCATATTTAATTAAGAAAAATAATCAAAAATAATTGACAATGGAAAATGACACGAAGTTTAATTTGCAGCAAAAACTTTTGAAATATAATGAACTTGGAAAAAGTAAGATTGAAAAATGACTTTGTCCTGCTAAAAGATCGATTATGTTTTTAAATTAATAACGCATCATAAATTTTAGGAATGACTTTTAGATTAGATATTTTTCTTTTACTTCATAGAATTACGATCAATAGAAGAATAGATTAAAATTTTATTATATTTACACTATATGAAATAAGTAGTCGCTTAATCTTAAAAATTATGAATAAAATATATCATTAGTGCACAGTGATCAAAGAACAGCGTCTTACTCATAATATTTAGAAAATATTTTAACAAAATTTATTATAAATATTATTACAAAATGACGCAATCGAATCACTATAAGTATAAATTGCCTAACTTGCTTTTAGATTATTAATTAGTACACTATTTTCAATTTACATTTATTTCTTGTATATATTGAAACACATACATATATATATATATATATATATATATATATACATATGTATGCGTTATCTTATGCAACATTCGGTATTAATAATCATCAAGAAATAGTCTTTGTGTGTATGCATATGTGTGTGTGAGTGTTTATGTGTGTGTACGTGTGTGAGTGTGTATGTGAGTGTGAGTGTGAGTGTGTGTGTGTGTGTGTGAGTGTGTGCGCGTAAGTGAAATTATATGCACACTCCTTAAAATTTATATATAATGCGAATGATAAAATTAGAATCGGTTAATTAGTAGAAGTTTTTCTCTTTTAACCATTTAATTTAAATTAAGGTTTATATCTTTAAAGTTTATATAAAAATTTTATACTAATAAATAAAATACTTTATCATTATATAATATATTATTATGAATATTTAATTTAATTGTCAAAAATTAAATTTAAATTATGTAATCAATATCAGCTATGAATTTCTTGTATAATTTATAACTTAATTAAGAATTAGATTTTTAAATAACTACAAGTACATTCTTTATAAGAAGAAAAATAAATAAATAAAAATAATATGCAATTGCTAATATTTACATGATTACGCTCAATATATATATATATATATATATATATATAAAGAGTAATGACATCAACGATCCCGTTATATTATATTGTACAATGGTATATCTATTTTAGAATATAATAAATATTCTGCAAATACTAGTAAAAAAATGACAAACTATTAAATTATTAATATGAACAATTAAATTTCATGTGGAAAGATGGGAATTCAGGTCAGATTATAGTTTAGTTTTCAAATTTTCCTGTATCGAGGTGTAAAAACATTGTTCTCCTAATCGACCAGAAAGTAAAAAAAATTTAACTCGTGTATCGATGTAGTTTTTTAAAACGAAGAAGCATCCTCAGCCTGTAATATACCAAAAAGTACTTTCCAATGGTGTAGGAAATCCCAGTAGAACGAGCGTGTGTGTAGTCAGCCAGAAATTATTACAAACATGTCCTTTGTTTTTATTCATCGAATTTATGAATTTAAGATGCAGTCGCAAGAAAAATCTTGTTAAAATATATTTATTCGCTAGATAAATGTTAATGGAAATTCGAGTCAACGATTTCACTATGTAACTCAAGCACCATACTATATAAAACTCGATAAATCTAAATAGCGGGATGGCCATACCCCTGCACGCTATCACGAAATTTATCAGACATTTTGAAGAATGCATGGGAAAACTAGACACAATTTCATCATCACAATCCATATATCTGCGTGCAATTGTGATCACGAGCGAGGACAAACAACAACAACAAAAAAAACAAAAGGCAACGAACGAGCACATGTGTAGCGGCCATCCAGAAAAATCCGAGCGAGAGAAATGAGATTTAACCGGTATTAACGAAAACCGGTCGCTCTCCAATCGGACTTGTATATACACACAGTGCGTGCCTCTCCTCTCTCTTCTTTCGACACGACGAGCGCAACTCGATAATCCAGCTTCACGAAGCGCCGGCATGCTCCTCAAGCACGTGGTCCCCCTCCTCACCACTACCACCTGCTTCTCTGCATCGTCTTTCATCACGATAGTCGCCCGTTATGGGCTTTCAATTCAGTGCCACGAACGCCGTAATAAGGGAACTGGAGGCAAGGCGTGAGATCGATCTTATAGCGGGACGAAATGCTGGAGGAATATCGCCAAGACTATACTGTGCTTGCGAGTGCATATATCCAGAGAGTTAGTGTACGAAGAGTGAGAAGCCCCGAATAAATTATGTTTATATTGATGTGGAAATAGCCGACAATATATAACTGAATTAACGGTATTATTGTCCATTGTATCCGATAGTGTCGTATTAATTAATAAAGGACAATGATTTCTGATAATTTAAATAACCTAAATAATGCGGCGGGCTGCGCTGTAAGAAATATTATAATTTAATTGATTCTCTGAGCAATATCTGATCACATAATAATGCTAAAAATTTGATGCAGACAATGTATATATTCATATTTGACATTAGCATTATATTATTTGCATTATCAATAAATTCGCTAATTTGTAATGCATCTTTCAAAAATGATTTTTTATTGATTTTATCTACTTAATATAATATTAATCAAACTCAAATTTTAACTCAAAGTATAAAAATTAATAATAAACCAACATTATGCATGAATTAATAAACTTTTGTTATTTGTAATTTAAAATATATAATTTATTTTACAAATTCGTAAGTTTTTGCATGAACTTATTCGACTTAAAAAATTATATTAAACAGTTGAGAATAAAAGAAATTTTTAATTATGGCAATACAAAATATTTTTCCACATTGTTCATACATCCTTGTGTTTTTAGCACTTTTCATTGAATTCCAATGCCACTATAAAATAAAAGTAAAATAGCTACAAGTATGAATAAACCGCTTACCCTTTAAAAGCATTATGCTACTTTCTCTTTTTACTCTTTTTACTATGTCAACAGTTTGCATTTTTTCAATATAAACCCATAAAGGCTTGTTTGTGCTTATTCTCGAGAATAAACATGTGATAATTATTGCCTCGGAATAGAATATCTGAATCTCTTAGTTAAATCTTACAGACAACCGATTACTTTTACGTTTTATTATTTACTAATGGTGTATTTAAGTATTCATATAATCACTTAATATTTTCAAGAACTTTTTTTTTTATGAAATTTGACAATTCGTCTATATGCTTCAAAATTTGACATTTTGTTTAAAACGCAATCATGATAGATTATATACAAATTCGAACAAATATATGCAAAAATTTTCAATTGATAAGTTCTATATTTCAAAACACTAGGTAGTATAAAAATAATTTTCAAACACTATTAAAAATATTATGATAAAATGTATGGAATATTTGTAAACACAAATTATTATCGATGTATATTTAGTTATATAAATAGATTTTTCCTTTCAATTTTAAATAGAAACCAAATAAGAAATTATTATAAAAATATAATTGTATATGTTAACAATAATTATTAGATTTAAAATTATTTATTAAACTATCTGTATATTACAAATAATTAAAATTTATTTACATCTTGTTTACAATAGTTATTATGATTTTTATAATAATATTTATAATTGTAATTTTTCAAAATATATTGCATCTGCATATATCTGCATGATCTGCTTAAATATTAGTAATTCCGTTTTTGCATTTGTGGATTTTCTTTTTTATAGACACATAAATAAGCACTTCAATTATGTGATGATGTTTTTCTATCATCTTTAATTACAATTAAAGTGAATCGATTGTATTAGATGGTTAACATCAAATTTTATTTGTCCAAGGAATGATGTAATAAAAATGAGTTAATTATAAACATTTAACTGTTCTGTAAGATATAGATTTTCTCACTCATAGAAGATACATTAATCATTCACATGTAATATTTAATAATTGACTTTATAAACAATGCATATTAAAAATTACATAAAATTTATTGTATAGATGAAAAATAAATTTTTATTATATACAAGAATTCTAGTATATTTACAGTCTATTACTAAGCGAAATAATAATAAACTACAGAAAATACGAAAGCAAATATTTATTTTCAAAACTCAATTAATTTTTAATAGGACAATTTTTAAATGCATAAAATCGGTAAGTGAATTTATCGTGCATCGTCGATTAATGAAAAA